TGATGGTGGTGGCGTGATCCAGGAAGGAGCAGATGGGAGCTGTGGGAACCGAACCACCGGTGAAAGAGGAAGGAAAGGAGGAGGAAGAAGATGGAAGAACAGCTTCGTCGTGATGTTTTGCAGGGGAGTTTCCGAGACGATCAAAAGGAATTGGGTTGCGATATAGGTCTCGTTGGATATGTCTCGTTCCCTAGTTTCTGGGACAATTTTCAGATCTGGAATCAGAGGTAAGGTCCGCCGGGAAATCTATCTCAAAGTTGAGCAAAAATCACTGTTTCAGAACCTAGAATATTTCCAAGTAATATTGGATCTATTCCAGTTTCATATTACAGTTTTTGGAGGACGATTCCGGTCACATCAGAGCACATATTGTCATGGAAATGGTTTTATCAGACAGAATACATGTAAGTGAATGCATGGAAGTTCCTATCATCTCTATCGGGGTTATACTATGTCCGTGGTGAGCTTGGCCTGTTGCACAAGAATCAGCAGAATCCGAATTGCTAGTCCTGGGACAGTTTCGTTGCAGCCACTTTAAAAGTCCGTTAGGAGATCTATTTGAAGTCCGATGAGGCTGTAAATTAGTGGAGTTGCTTATGAAACTACTGTCTTCAGAATCAACGGTCGGATTTTCGAATGGACGGTTTGTTTGCTATTTATTTGCGTCTTTTCGAGTATGTTAAGTGCAGATTTATTGGATGATTAAGTGTAATGAATTGTATTGGTTGGTTGGATAAACAAGCTCGGATAGAGCTGGAAATTGACATGAATTTTATGGACCTATAATATGAGATTGTGTCAAAAGAGAATTGGAGTTGGAGATTGGAAAGTCAGTCAAGAAAGGAAGCTTTGTGGCTAAGGTGAGGGTTGGGATTTGTGGATTCATGTTATGCAATAGTATGATTTGTTGAGTATGTATGCTTAGTCTAGGCATAGTGATTGAGTGTTGAATGAAATGTTAAGTTGTGAACAAAACATGATAGTTATGTTTATTATATAGTAAAGTAATATGTAATGTGTGAGGTGTGGTGTGTGATGTCGGACTGAGGGCGAGGACATGGCGATCCCGCTAAAACTCGTAAACCGGCTGACGAGCCAAAGGTGGCGTACGACCTTTCGAGGTGACTTTACTATATGATGAAATATTTGGTAAGATGTTTTAGAACAAAAACCCCAAATCTCTATGATGGGAATATTAACGATCATGATGATGAAACAGTTTAATACCTCTGTCTCTTGGTTCTTGTGCTATACAGATTGCTTACCTTTTCAAGCTTCCATATCTCCATTATCGACTTATTGCTCCATCCATACTGTAAACACCCGTCAGCAGATTCGCCCAGAACCGAACCTGTTCATCATAGTCAAATGACTTGGGCAGCTTTATCACATCAAGCCGTTTCTCCTCTTTGGTTGAGTCATACATAGCCCACTTTACCACCTGGGGCATTCCACTCTCCCTTGAGATCACGGAATAAGAGATATAGGCTCAGCAGTACAGGTAAGCTCGGAGTAGCACCAAGTGGTGGTTTTGGAGATAGTCTCTATTTTCACCTTTGTACTCTGATTCAAAAAGCAAACACACTCAGCTAGCTAAACCACAATCCTCAGTGATCAAATACATACAAAGCTCTTCGAAATGAACTCTTGGACGCGGAAGCTGATGATACTTCTGTGTACTGGGATCATACAAGTAGTAAGCTTTCGGATGGCGGCCACAGAGAAGAAACCCGTTTGAAGAACCAAAGCTTTTTCAGAACACCAGAGGATTCGATTTCATCGCCTAAACAGCTTGTTGAGAGCAGAGGAATCGAAGGTTCAGAGCGAGGGCGACGGACTCCATCTGCACGTTTTCCAAGGTACATTGCGCTGCAGATGCAGATGAAGAAACTGACGAGTTGAAAGCTCGGTTTCCATTTGGTTAGGTAAATGGGACGGAACAAATGGTTTGATATGATCTGAAGCCATCTTTTTGACACAAGAATCAGGTTATACAGAATTGAAGAATCTCACCCAAATCTCAAGTCATCCCCAAAACTGTTTCTTTTGACCATCAGTACGAGAAAAACCAAAAACACAAGTTACAGAGAAATAAACAAAACTAATAATCAATTTCGAGAATTCCGGAGAAATCTGGATCCTTATGAATGATTCTTGCTACACATAATGCAAATAAGTCAGATTAATGTGATCATGCACAGGTATCGTGTACATGTGCACACTCAACTTTGATAGGGCTGTCTAATGCTCTTCTTCGAGATAGATTTTTATAAGCATAGTATCTAAGTAATCTACAATATATACTTTTGTACTGTTAATTGCCAGTGTGAGGATGGACAAAAAGCTAAAGCTTTACACTTATATCTCCGTCCTGCATTTCTTATGAGGCACATTTCTCATCTTTGGCCTTTGGGGATAATGTTTACATTCTGACAGCTGGAACCAGCAATGGTAAAGTAGTGTTTTACCTGTTATTGTCCTGCACGCTTACAGTAGTTCAGAGGTCAATACATTTCTAATTCAGTGCAATCTCTTTACCTGTCATTTCTAGTGACTCTGATTCCATGGATTGACCGTTGTGGACTTATCACTATTATAGTATTATTTGTTTATTTGCCATCCGTTTCATGAGTTTGAAATCTAAAATGGTATTTACTATTTCCCTAAATCCAGCAGCGAGGGATTTCCATTCGGTGATGATGACCGGAAATCTAGGGACCAGCAGACTCTCCAAAAGAAAACAGCAGAAACGAGAGAGGAAGTTTTCAATAATCTGTTGTCAAGAAGACCTGAGGAGATCTTCAGGTTATGAATGTATGTAAAAAAGTTTCACCAAAACCATTTTTATTCATATATATGAGCATATCTCGTTCGGGGCAAGATGGCTAAGAGAACACGCCATCGTTCTAACATACTTTACTTTTGCAAAAACGGGAAGAATTTTTTCCATCTTTGATAATGTAAAATCTTTTACTTGCGTCCCACCTAAATGACCCGTAAAACGAAGAGAAACGTAAAATGTCACATGTTTTTGTAAAAACTAGATAAACTATAGAGTCGGGAACGAAAGACTAAACCTAAGCAAACCAAAAAGAGGTTTTCATATCCGATGAATACACGAAGACGTTGATTAAAGTATAAGTTATTAGCAAACCTAAAATTGAAAACACGAGACTTGGATACAAGCACAGAGTAGTATTTTATATCCGATCACTTGAGTAATAACATTTTAGTAGTTGGCCACGGGCCATGCACTCTTGGTCACGGTCAAGCGATTCCTTCTCTTCTTGTTCGTCTTGGTCACGCGATCCAACCTCTTGACAACCAAACGCAAATCCAGTGTGAAAAAAAGATAACAAGAGGTCGGTTTTCAAATGCAATGCTACAAGGTGATACTAGGAGGGAGAGAAAAGGATACTTCTACTTGTGCATGTTCTTCACTGTTCAAGTGGAAAGTGGATCTTCATATTATGCTCGTTGTAGGCAGGATATTTGCAAATTTTGCAAAAAATCAAAGGGTTATACTCGTTCTCTACACGCACACGCAACGCTCTCCACAACTGCTTCAAAACAAAAAAAAAAAGATAACATGAGGATATTTTCCTACAATGGTTAGAGAATAGGGAGGTAGAGGAGGATGCTTACTTATTGTGAATGATCAGTACTCTTGATATGGTTGATGAAATCATCACAGCTTTGGCTAGGAATTTCGCATAGTGTGCAAAACCACGAGGCAGGTTCATCCTTAGGACGTATAGAGCTGTTTGTATCCACAAGGCATGATTTCTCTCCCAATAAGTTTTCCCAGGCCCATGCGTGAGTAGACGTGCGTGTTGGGAAAGACAGAGGATCTGGAAGTGCGCGAAGAATAGTGTATCCGCTGGAGAATAAAAAGAGAAATTAAACCAGGAACTATCTGAGGATACGAGCATTATTTTAGCCGGGGGTGGATTGCGCTCTTCCCATTCGTCCAAATGATAACAGACTCCCATCCCTTGATAGACGGAGTGTCTAAGATGAATTCCCGAGGAAGAGATCCCTTTTAAGATCTGAGGAGAGATGAATTCTAGATTGCCGATGCAAAAGATGGTGACTGGACATCCAGGACCAATGTACTCCTGCAAAGCCGATTCTATACGCGAACGGACACGACCAGGGTCACAGCCGTCGGGAATGGGACAGGTGTTGATGTCCCACCACACACCAGTGGTGGTCATTTTAAGAACTAGAGGGAAAAAAACACATGGCAGTTAGGTCTTTGATCTAAAAGAGGAAATCAAAACGTCAAACAAGTAATTGAATCCAAACTACCGACGTCGTGGTGCATTTGATCCCATATATAATATGCGGTTGAATGCGGGGTCAGAGAGACAGTACATCTACAAAGAAACGCAAATAAGTTTTAGGTTTTCTTACAATGACAAATGTATGTAATGAGACTAGGAGAGGGAAGCAAGGATGCTTACAAGATCTCCCTTGATCCAGGGGATGGTCATAGAGTTATCCCACAAGACAGGATGAGGAGGAGAGAAACGGGAAAAATGGAAACAACGATTGTTCTCGTCTACAAACACCAGGTTGGAATAGACGAGCTGGTGGGGGAAAAAAAAAGATGTCAAATTTTGATACGGAGATAAATTCTTCAAATGGTTAGAAGAGAGTAGAGGATGCTTACTTGTTGTGAATGAAATGTGCTCTTGAGATGGTTGACGAAATCATCACAGCTTTGGCTAGGAATTTCGCATAGTGTGCAAAACCACGTGGCAGGTTCATCCTTAGGACGTATATATGTGTTTGTCAAGAATTCTGTCTTGGGTTCCAGTAACTCTCGAACACACGGGTAGCCTGGTGGGCGAGGAGCTGGAAAAGCGCGAGCAATAGTGAATCCCAGGGAGAGAATAGAGGAATTAAACCACGGACCCGTAAACCAGGAAATGAGCAGCATATGAGACTTGGGTGGACTTGGGTGGGCTAACGAAATCGGACTTTATCTTAGGCGGCCCGATTGGTGAAATTGATTGACTTTATTTTTTTTTGGTAAAATTGATTGACTTTGTTCGTGATGACATTCCATAAATATACTATTTTACTTGGCTCAATTACATGTAGACACACTTTCTGGACTCTTTATTTCTGTAGAGACACTGCTTCTTTTTGGAAGTATCTTAAAATTACTGCTATATACAGAAAAACACACAGAAACTTGTAAAAAACTCATTATTATCAAAGCTAAACTTATGCTCCTAGTATTTCTTTTCAAAATGATGAAATAGATTACAAGCAAAAATAAATAAAAATCAACGCACCAATCATGAGATCATAAAGGATTATCTGTTTCTTAGATCACTACATGAATTTATTAAATATTACAGTATTTTTATATATATTAAAACTGAAAATAGCAAACATTCGTCATTACATTTCAAAGAATGTGGGACATTCATGAGAACCTTTAGTCATCATTGACCCATTATTCCACCTTATGACATCATCTCTAAATAAATGGATTACAAAAATTGAAATTATTTTGATCAATAAGAGAATTTAAGAACAACTACACAAGTGAAATTGAATCTATGTCCTATCAATAAATCATCATCAAACTGAGCCAATAACAAAAGGAGAAATTGGCTTGTATACCCTAAATCTTATGGGAAATTTGAAATCTATACCAAATTTACCAAATTTGTTACACTTTGAAAAATACTCTATTTTAATAGTTGAAATGACGTTTTTAACCTTACTTAACAAATTAAGTTAGGAAAAAATGGTTTAATTTTCTTAATTTTTATTTAAAAATTTATTTATAATATTAAAAACTAATATATCATCAATCTAATAATCTATTAAATTTTTTTCTTTGATAAAGCGTATCTTTCTTATAAAATATCTACAAACCCTAAAACCATTATCTCCAACTCCATCACCGCAAACTCCACGACGCCTACTCAAAGCCGCAAACTCCACCGTCTCGAAATCCATTGTCGCCGAAATCATAGTAATACAATAGAGGTAACACAACATTTCTTTCGTTTTATTGTTAGGGTTTCGTGATTATCTCATTGCTTGTTTGGTAAAAAGTATTAAGGTCGTAAAGATGACATAAGTCGGCGGCACAGAAGGAAGAAGATGACAAACCCTAG